GCCACGTCGCCTTCTAACCCTGGCACGACCATCGTGCATGCCTAAACAAAATCGAGACTCGTCACTAAGGACAATACTGTTCCATTCCTGATCCCAGAGTGACCGTTGTCTGCACCACTCAAGGCGATTACGTCGGTGTTCTCGAGTTAAAGGGAGGACCCAGTGTGGCCGGTATGAAAACAAGCCAAAACTTCTCATTCGTCGGTAAACACTTCGCATGCCAATAGGTCTTCCGTGTTCTGCAAACCATTCATTTGCAATGGACCTGGTAGTGGAGAGACGGTCCCTTAAGGCCAATAATCTTAGGCGGCGATCTTCACGGTCTGTTGTTCTACGGCGGCGTCCAGTGCCTCTTGCTCGAAGCCATGCTTAACAACACCTAACCACAGCGTCTACACTTCTTTGCACTCTAACTGCAATTGCCCGAAAAGAAAGTCCAGCTTCCCGAAGTCCCACTATACGGCCCCTATCAAACTCACTAAGTTGACGAAATCGTACAGGTCTCCGTACTCTAGGCATCGTAACCGATCGTAAAGGATGTCAAGAACCAAAATCCTCCAACGTTGATTCTTTACTGCGGCTGAAATATTCATTTTTAGAGCGTTAGTGAATTAAAAAAAAGCAGTATAAAAACCGGAATGTCGAACTGGTAAGGCTGAAAATTTTTTCACTTGTTATTTACAGTAAGATAAATACATTCACCAACTTTTATTAAAATAAAACCATTTAAACTGGGTGTTCGGATTTATATGTCACTTAGAATCGGTAATAGTTGCTTTCAAACCGTAGGATTGAATTATGTCAATAAAACCTGATGATTTCCTATTTGTCACCAACAGATCTATATTAAAATCGCCGGCTAGTGCACATTTCTTTTTTTCATTACTAATCATATCTAGAATTATTTGAAGCTTCTCAAAAACGCGTCGATTTGATCGTCACATGGACGATATATAGAAACGACGACTAAGACGAGCTCTTTCAAGGTTATTTCAAGGGTTGCACATTCAAACGCACCGCACTGCGAAATATTGTTGAGATCTTCACGCACTTTCGCTCTTCCTTGAAGTATATCCGGGTTGCAGTAGATAGTGCATCTTCCATGATAACCTCGTTCACGGCAGAAGAATGAGATGAGCTTAAACTTTGTTATCTTGATAGCTTGCACTTGTTCTGTGATACATAGAAAATGGCACGGTTATTTATTATAACACCCGGAATAGGAAAATTCGCTCCGAAGAATATGGTGGGAGTGCCTACATTATAACATAATAGCTAACAAAATGGTGGATGCGTATGTATTTTATATGCTATTTAAATTTTGGTGACAGGTTTTTATCTGCGGAATTTCCAATAGGGCGAGGATTTGTGCATAACATTTATCAGAGTAATATGGGTAGTTTGATTAAAATTGCAACGTATATGGTTATATAAATGGAAATGGCGAATGATTTCACATAAAATTGATTATAACTGCATGCTGGATCGTTAAAATCGTATATCAACATGCACGCGAATAATAATTCAATTTTGATACTAATCCTATCAAAGGAACAAAATCATAGATAAATTATTATGTGTATAGAAGAACTGACGCTAAAATGCTGAAACCAAAGATGACATCAGGGCCAGATAAGATTCATTCTTTTGTAGTTCAAGATACTGTTCCTGATATAATGAATGCCTTGATTATCTTATTCAACGTTATGTTATGCCAGAGTGTATCCAGTTTACTAATCAGGTGACAGAAGTTCATTTATGAACTATATCGATCAATATCGATCATTAATAACTTTGGTAAGCTTGTCTAAATAATTCTTTATAACCGGATTTAGCTCTTACTCGCAATCACATATCTGAATATCAACATGGTTTTACGAATGGTAGAAAAAAGAACCTAACATTGAGTGTATATTTTAGGTTAATGTCTGGTAAGCTACAATCTCTGCATTTGGAAGTCAAGAATTCTTTTTGGAGGTGTGTTTTTGTAGTTTTGAACTAACCGATTTAACCTTTCGGTCAAAGGTTCATCAGTGCCCTAATTGCGTACGTAGTTCAACTCTCTAGAGCGGTGGTTCGCAAAGGCGATTCTGGTGGCTCACAACTTATTTTAAAAAGGTGTAAAAGTCATAGCAGCTTCCGTAAATTTTGTAAATTCGAACAAATTCTCACAAGCAGCGGCAACACCGAATATATACTAAGTGACATATAAATCCGAACACCCAGTTTAAATGGTTTTATTTTAATAAAATTTTGTATAAGTACTTAATGAAGCATAATAAGTAAATGATAAAAATTTCAAAATGATTGCACTGCTTTAAAGCCCTTTGACCTTTAATAATGTGTGGATGCACCCTGATGTGCTACGCATTCTCCAACGCGCCTAGGCATGCTTCTGATCAGGTGGTCAATGTCCTCCTGTGGTATCTCATTCCAGGCAACCACCAACTCCTCTCGAAGTGCTTCTAGAGTCTGAGGAGGACGTTGCAAATTGAGCAATCTCCTACCCATCATATCCCACACGTGCTCAATTGGGGATAAGTCGGGAGATCTTGGTGGCCATGGTAACAATGTGACATCATTATGTTGAAAGCAGTCTATTGTGACTCTTGCAACATGTGGTCGGGCATTATCTTGTTGAAAAGTTGGATCTGCCAGGGTGTCAAGATAATGTAAAAGATGGGGTCCTAGAACTTCGTGGATATAACGCTGCGCGTTCATGTTACCTCTGATGAAGATTAAAGGTGACCTGGAACCATAAGCTATAGCACCCCAAACCATAACTCCAACAGTGTGATGAACATGTCTTTCAACAAAAAACTGTGGATTCCTCCTTTCACCACGTCGCCTTCTAACCCTGGCACGACCATCGTGCATGCCTAAACAAAATCGAGACTCGTCACTAAAGACAATACTGTTCCATTCCTGATCCCAGAGTGACCGTTGTCTGCACCACTCAAGGCGATTACGTCGGTGTTCTCGAGTTAAAGGAAGGACCCAGTGTGGCCGGTATGAAAACAAACCAAAACTTCTCATTCGTCGGTAAACACTTCGCATGCCAATAGGTCTTCCGTGTTCTGCAAACCATTCATTTGCAATGGACCTGGTAGTGGAGAAACGGTCCCTTAAGGCCAATAATCTTAGGCGTCGATCTTCAGGGTATGTTGTTCTATGGCGGCGTCCAGTGCCTCTTGCTCTTTGCGTACGGCCTTCTCGAAGCCATGCCTGACAACACCTAACCACAGTGTCTACACTTGTTTGCACTCTAACTGCAATTGCCCGAAAAGAAAGTCCAGCTTCCCGAAGTCCCACTATACGGCCCCTATCAAACTCACTAAGTTGACGAAATCGTACAGGTCTCCGTACTCTAGGCATCGTAACCGATCGTAAAGGATGTCAAGAACCAAAATTCGCCAACGTTGATTCTTTACTGCGGCTGAAATATTCATTTTTAGAGCGTTAGTGAATTAAAAAAAAGCAGTATAAAAACCGGAATGTCCAACTGATGAGGCTGAAAATTTTTTCACTTGTTATTTACAGTAAGATAAATACATTCAGCAACTTTTATTAAAATAAAACCATTCAAACTGGGTGTTCGGATTTATATGTCACTTAGTATATATAGCATCGTAGGGGATCTAGATCAACTTAGCAAACCATAGCTGGTGGATGTACGATTAAGGCGAAAAAAGCGCTCTGAAACTGGTTTATTTGTCAATGAAACAGTTTCTTCTGAAACATTCAAATTATGGAACTTGGGAGGTTGTTGCATCGACCGTCTCATTTATATCAACATGATTTCTGGTAAAGAAACTTCACTCTCGCATTTTTTCAATAATTTTTCACAACTCTGCACGTTCATTGTTCGTTCTTTCAACGTCGATGAAATAAATTGATGGAAAACAAGGCCATAACAAATCATTGCACAATTTCCATCGACTGATTCCCGGATTATCTTTAACATCCAGCGTGTGTGTCAAACAAAAAGTTCACCTCGCCGCCCAGCTAACAATCGAATATGAGCCAGGAAACAAACGAGGCTCATCCGGATGATCCGGCTGCTAGGCTTTTGTTTCCGCGGCCGACTTTCGCTTATCAGCAGAATCTGGCTGGAAATGGACAATGAAGTGGCGCGAGATTGGTAGCGAATTGAGTATCGTCCTGTTGGGTTTGCGGTTCATACAAATTTGAAATTATTGTGTCTAAAATTATTGGGATTTCATCATTTTGAGTCTTAAGGAGACAGTGGCGCTCCCAGGATTTTAGTCTGGGAGCGGTAAAATGGAAAGTAAATTCTCAGTGTGACGTACTGAAGTGTTATAATGATTTGACATTAAAAGCATGAACATATGCAGACATATGAATTTGTTACAGTAATTTCTGTAGAAAATACATACAATTTTTTTCAATTTTGAATCATACGAAATCAAAGTGTAAATAAAACAAGCCAAGCTCGAGCTATCTTCATATATTAAAACGAAAATGTAAAACAACATAATCTATCACAGACTTTTCTACGTAACAATGTCAGACAAAACAACAAAAAATACATCTTCTTGAAAAAAATAACAATAACAAATATGTTACGACTTCTATAAAGTATAAAACTGAATGTAAATCAAAATAAAATTCTTAATCGTGAGAATAGCACAAAAAATATTCATTTCATAACTACATTCTCTTAGCCAGTCTAAAAAACAAAACCATATTCACTATGAAACTACATCAGTCCACAGTCTCAGAATAAAACAATCATTACGTTAGCTTAAAAAGTGATTTGAACAGAATTTGAACATACTTTTATATCAATCTGCTGGCCAAAAATATAAGAGCTTTTTGGTCCCTTGCACGGTGTCAGAATTCCAACAAAATTTGCGATAACATCAAAAGAACATAATACCTAATGTTCTAAATTCTTCGCTATTCGCGAGCATACGGTGTAAAACGGATGAGTACAAAATACATAAGATAATTAGATGGTTCATAATATTTTCTCTTACCTTCTGAATACGACGATTCCCCATCCCCTGCAAGAACACAAAATCAAACTTCGCCGAGCATTTTCTTTGACCTAGAATCAGAAAACAAACTCGATTCTAATACACTCAAAGGAATCTGAACCAATTATAAAGTTTAATCGCAAGATACGCCTTCGTTATCAGAAACACAAAGCTTGGCTAATCCAAGATTTCAATCCTAAAATATCAAAAACTCTCAGATAATCGCATAGCGTAGAGCATGATATGATCTCTGGACGCTGGCCAAATCCGAGGTAGACAACTGTTTACGTACTCTGTTACAATCATGCAGACACATTGCAGTGAATTGAAGTTGGATTAGTCTAGCTCCGACTTTGTTAATTGGTTTATCAGAATGGAACGCTGCGAAAGCGCAGAGCATGATGTTGTTTGTCTATGTGGCATTGTACATATTCAGCGAGAACTTTTAATGCTAGCGTCAAACGTTTTAATTGTGGAAATTCTGGAAACTGGGAGGAGTATTCACCGTGCTACTATGCAGAAGTTGCGTAAACTAAGCGTAGGCTTGACTGAATTTGTTTGCCTTCCATCTGACTATAGTCGACTGTATAAATATTTTAATCAATTATAAGTACGGTATAAGCTGGTCATTTGGAGACAGATTACGAAAATCAAACTTACGTATCTACTGAACTATATTGAAAATAGACCAATACCCTCCTGTCTCACTGGATAACAAATTTTAGTTTTTTAATTGTATCTTGTGGGAAAAGTGCACTTCTTTGTTAGTTTTGGGGCGCTGAATCCAAAAATGACAATGAAATAAAAAAATTAGTTGCGGTTTAGAAAAAAAACCTTTTTATTTTTAAGGATATACTAAAAAAAGTAACAAGATTCATATACTTATAAGAATCACTATATGCGCTGTCTTTTTGCTGTTCTTTTATGGATCGTTTCTGGAGCATCTCTACCAAGAGTCCAACAGTAGTCTGCAAGCATGGAACGATTCCACTTTCCCTGGTACCTTTTTTCCATTGTTGAAATATCCTGATGAAAACGTTCGCCGTGCTCATCACTTACGGCTCCGCAATTGTCAGGAAAAAAGTCCAGGTGTAAGTGTAGGAAATGTATCTTAAGAGACATATTACAGCCCATCTTTTGATACGATGACAGCATATTTTTGACAAGGGTTTTATAGTTGTCAGCTTTTCTATTTCCCAAGAAATTAGTGACCACCAGACCAATGTTGAACTGTCTATAAACAATCTCCATTCTTCTGGGATATAGTTTATATTTAAAGCCGCCAGTAAGCCGTTAATGTTAGCGCAGAAAACCAAGTTATTCTCCATATTGAAAAATGGTTCTAAGTCTTTGTGGCGTTTACGAAAAACACATACCGAAACATCGTCTTCTAACAAGTTCCACTGCTGCAGTCTTGATCCAAGTAACTCTGCGTTACATTTTGGAAGTTCTCAATCTCTTACAAGATCATTTAATTCTGACTGTGTTATTTTGTGCGGTTGGTGGCATGACGTGCTCGGTATAAAATCAGGATTTCTTGACGTTGATAGCATATCTTCTTCCTGACGAATCACTCGATCGCCATGATCTGATTCGTTTTCTGATTCGCAAGTGTAGGATTCTGGGGGTTTTGGAATAGGATTTTCGTCACTGTGAGGCACAGGTCTCATCGCAGATGGTATGTTTGGGTAGTTAATAACCGATTTTTTTTTCTTGGACATACCTGTGGCTTGTCCAACACAAGGTACCATGCAAAAGTAACAATCATTAATATGATTTGTAGGCTCTCTCCAAACCATTGGGACTGCAAAGCGCATAGACCGTTTTTTGCCATTTAACCAGCTCCTCAGACTTGAAGCACATGTATTACAGCAGATGTGGGCTGCCCACTGTTTGTCTTGATCACCTAGTTTACAACCGAAATAGAGCTGATATGCCTTTGTTATCAGTGGAGTAATATACCGTCTCTGAGACGCAAAAGTCACATCACCACACATGTAACAAAACTGATCTGGATTGTTTACACACTTTCGAGACATCTTGCATGAACGCTGTCAGCCAACTGAGGAAAAATGGCTAATTTAAAACAATATAATGTACACGTATGTATAACGTAACACAATCATGCCGATTACATCATCTTTCCTTGCCGAATATAAAAATTTAGCACGTGCATTCTTGTGAATTACAGTATATTAACACTGTCACAGCAGGAACACATATAATTACCGTATCTCTAAAACTTGAACTAATATTGAAAAAATAAGTTTCATTCCGGTCCTAGCACATTAAAAATAGTAATATTTTATTGATTTTATTTAGGATATTTTTTGGCTGTTGATCAGTGTCTCCAAATGACTAGACCTATACCGTACCAATGATTGCTAAAAAGCAGGAAACAATACTGTATACGGTTGGTTGATTGATCGGGGCATATTGAGTCAGGATGCACAAATGCGACGATTGATTTCTGTAAAGAAGACATAAGAAAACAATTATAAAATTTCGTAGTCATGGTATAACTAAACTAAAATATTCTCAGAATGCTGTCACTTCCGGTTGTGCCACTAACTACTCATTTGAAACATCTTACTTATTAATAAATTTTAGGATTCTGAGCTATTTACTAGGCTCAGGCTCCTACAATAGATTAGGATATTGTCAAATCCAAGAACGATGTCTGTTCGAACATTTAGGTCCGATTTCACCAACATAAATATTATGGACCAAAACCTTATCGAAATGCAATTTGACAAAAGCTGTCAAAGGTCAGTGATTTCTATTAAAATATTGAATAGAATCGTGAAAATTCGACTGTATTATAAACAAGACCACTTCTTGATTCCAACATTATGTTCTTGTACAGAGAAAACAGGTCAACTTCCATGTATTTTGATTTGTGTTATAAATTTACAATTAACAATCAGTCATCCCCAAAAGCCAATGGAAATGCGGCAAATAATAGCTCGATTTTCCAGCTGTTAAATTTGGCAGCAGATTTAGACGTTTATTAATGCATGGCAATCTCGAATTTAAGTTCAATATACTGTTATCATTATAAACCTGTTAAATAGTGTGGATTTGTCTGTATTTTGCAAGAAAATAGAATATAAAATACATTCCATTCAATTCCTCATCTTCCTTTACATCATAATAGTAATAATTTATTAATTTATGGGTTAATGAATTTCTTCAAAGCAATAAAAACACTGTCCTCTCCATCCTAAAACACAGATAATATGTGTAAGACGTCTCAATCCCTACATCTCCATGATGTGTAGAATGTGTACTCGTGAAAAAGAAAAATATGGCAAATTTGTAGTTTTTTGCAGGTTTTAGGTTTGCTGGTAGCTTTAAGGCATATATTTTGGGAATTTCTTAATCGCTGTTAATATAGTGTGGATGTTTGTTCAGTTCCTGAACAACGAAAAATATTCAACTTTATGGATGTATGGATATCAAAAAACCTGAATGGCTTTGTGGGAATTATCAATCTAAGGTGCCATAATGGCAAGTAAATGAATGAATGTTTGGATGCGAGCAATATCTTTTGGTAGAGCCTGTCATCAAGTAGGTGCTTAATGGCTATCTGCAAGAGGTTTATAGGAAAAAACACCCAGTATCGCATATCAATTGAAGAAAATACTATAAACATAAATAAAAAATCAACAATAATAATTAAAACATGAATTTAATTCAAAAATCAAACATTTCTTAAAATTTGGCTGAATTATATGTAATTTGTTAATATTCAATAAGCTGGTGATGTTTGAATGACAAGTTGTCATCTCATACATTGACAGTATTTTGTTTTCAACATTTCATAGCTACTGGTTGCTAAAATTTGTTGATTGGAACTTGAAGCTCATTCGCTGTATCTGACGGTCTGTTACCCTATAGGATTTAATTAATTATCGATTAAAATTTTATAAAAATCCAATTTTCTTACGAATAAGCACTCAGAAACACGTTTGGGCAAACTCTTTTTTACGCATATAGTCGAGTGATTTACTAGAAAAACGTTGATAAAGTATATTTTACAGTATATAGGTTAAGTCAAAAGATCAGAATAGCTTTCAGGTGGATATAAATATGAATATATTAAATAGCCCTTTAACACAAGTAATTGCCAAAATTTCGAACTGAGATCATCGTATGCTCAATATATAGAGTGTTCTCGGAGGGACTTTCCTTTATACGGCGTATAGGTCTTGCGAAAAAGGGTAACTTTTTACCTAACAACATATACACAACTTCTTAGGCTTAAATCAAGCCTAAATAAAATCTAATCGTGAACCCGTACAATGCGCTAGGCACTTTGGTAGACAATACCTTTACACATCGATTCTAAAAAACAAAGATGGCACATCGGAATTGCCCATACTATTCTATAATTTTCGGTGAGTGTCTCCTAAACGCTACCGAGGCTTTGCGAGTGCATTCAGATCGTTTTTCAAGATTCCTTCGTGATTTCTTTTTTGTTTGGTGCGGCACGAAATATTCAGTGTATAACACTGAGGTGAACACGGTAGACGAACTATAGTGCGAATTCAGCAATCCGTTGCAATCATTCCTGAAAGGCCGCCAATTGTAAAAGCTTTATACTTATTCTTGGCTACGTCGAGTACATGTGTCTTTGAATCTATTGCAGATAAGTTTGAACCATACTTACATACTTAAAAGTATCAGCGGTGTACTTGAAATTTATTTCCGATAAACGGTTGTGCTTTTTCATTTGTTTTTTACTCTTTCTCTGTTGTTTCACCACACATCAACTTTGTTATTACAAACGTAGCTTCTTCTGTTCAAACTTTGAGAACACCGTGAATAAATAGGCGGCGGTGAAAATGCTTTGTCTCCCTAAGCGTAACGCAGGCGATGGGGTATGAAGCTGAACTTAGCTCAAAATACAATAATCTGCTGTTCCCATTGTCTCCATTAGCTTCATGACTATCAAGATGTATCCAAACGTAATTATCCACACGTTGACGCTGGTGTATTTCCAACGACGTAGAAAATACGGTCATCACTGATTTTCATGCGTTTGTCGTTATATCAGCATTATTCAGCC